AAAGCCAAAGAAAACAAATTGTATTCCTTGTTTGTATCACATTGAAACGTACGACAGTCACGTATGCGACGTATGGAAATACCCATATGCCAAAATCCGCACAAACCAGATCAAGTACCGTAAAAACTCGTGCACCAGAAATCTGCGTTGAAAACTTATCCATTGTTGAAATCAAATAATGTTCGCGTTGAATACACTCGTTAAGCGGTTTTGGGTCAAGACAAATACGGAGTTTACCATCTGGCTTTTCAACTATCTGTAAGTTATTCACCCATTCTGTTGGGTGCTCAACCTCAGAAATAATTTGTTGCTTTTTCATATTTTCCAATTCCTCCTTAAGTTTCCCCTTCAGGCTAAGTGGTATGCGTTTTTTATAATGCAAGACTGGGGTGGAATTCGGCTTAAGCTTAATGCTAAATTTTCCTGAAAATTTTCCCAACCCATCAGATACATCCCTATCCAATCTCATGAACTCCTCTTTATCCCTTGGCATTACTGTGATAGCATTAACATTCAATCGCTCAACCAGTCCATGTTCAATGCAGGTGTCTAACCCTAGCAATGGTTCAAGTGAGTCATTAACAACAACGAACTCAGTCAGTCACTCGGTTTTTGTGACAGAATCTCGACAATTTAATTCAATTACTCCAAGAGTCTAAATTTTATTCTCATCATAATCAAAAATGTTACATATTTCCCGAGTGTTGTTTATTTTTGCGTTTAGCTTTTTAATAATATCAATTGGAATGCAATTAACATCAGATTCCGTATCAATTTTGAACTTGGTCACTTCCGAACCAATATGGTAGGTTTTACTCCATTTGTTTTGACCAATACGATTAACGCTTATTCTACAATTATTAATTAAATGACTTTTCAAGCTTATGGAACTACCCTTTACTAATTTACCTGACTCGTTATCCCAATTTACAGAGTGGTTGGTTGCCCGCTGGTGCTTTCCGTTGTTTCCCTTACTGCTGTTGGTGTTGTCCATTGGTTTTCCAGATTTGGTGACTTGCTTGCAGAAGCTTAAAATGGCCCTTGCGCCCACATCCATGGCAAACGCCGTCATTGGCTAGGCACGTGCGAAGATGCGTTGGCGAAAATAGTTGACCACAATTATAACACTGTGCGTTTGCACTCTTCACCGACTTAACTGTTTGCTCTTCGCGCTCTCCGATTTCCACCACACGGCCGATAATGGATTTATTCTGCTCCAGCAACTGTTTGTGTGCATTCGCCGCCATATACGTCTTACACTTCTCGATGATATCCTTTAGGTTGCTATGATTTCCGTCCAATAATTGTAGCTGCAAGCTCTTATCGTGGACTCCGACAATGATGCGATCACGCAACATATGATCCGATATGATACGATGTACCGCATGAACAAAAAAATTTCAAAACTGCATTTGCTTGCGTAGTTCCGTTTCAAATTCGGAAAATGTCTGTCGCTCCGCCTGCTGAATTGAGTTCAAATTGAAAGTTTCCATGGAATCATTCTTTCTCGGAGTGCAATATTCATCGAACGCTTTGATTACTGCGTCCAATGTGCGAACGGGTTGTTGCGCATCGGCCGCTTTATCTGATCCCGGTTGCTGCTGTATATTTCCGGAGATTCCATCGGCAGTCCCATCGTTGACAAACAATGTATTATAAATATCGGCTACTCGTGTGCCAATCAACCATAGAAATGTTGCAATTTTCTGTGGTTCCGAGTTTTGCAACTTGTTGGCCATCATGTACATAAGAAAGGTGCGTTTCCATGTTGGCCATTCCCTGGATAAGTTTGAGCAATCAAGCTCGCATGGCAATCTGTAATTATTAGCCATAACAACTGCAATCCGTTGATATTTTTCAATTTAATCTCACGATCCTTATTTAAAAAAGTTAGTTTTTTAATTATGTGGTTTCTAACCACTTCCGGCACCATGTTTTAACTTGTTAAAAATTAAAGACGTCCGTCTACTGACATGTGCAAATACCCAAGAACTTTTTATTCACAACATAGCGTACAGTTACAGTTCAGTGTATCTTAACTTAGGGCGGTACCACACTTTACAACTTTTACATAGTGTAAACATATGGCAACTCTTGACATGCGTTCATCATTTGCCGGGCGTTCAACATTTTTGAACCAGTCAACGTTTGGTACGGCAACGAGCACGAAGCTAAAGCGACGATTCGGCGACTAAACATTATTAAACCATAATTTCAACTACTTGACTTTTTTACATTTCTTTTATACAAATCACCATATCAATATAAATTTCAACAGAATAGAGTGTGTGCGAATTTATTTTATTATAATCGGTTCGGTTTTCATAAGAACGTACAAATGAACGCAAACGAGTAATGTGAAAACGAACATTTATGAACAAATACGAAAGGGGCGAAG